AGAAAAATAAATCCATAAGGATGAAGTGACATGGGAAACGCACGTCAACGTTTCCTGATTAAATGAGACAGACACAGACCTTTCTGAAGGATGGGAAATACCATATGTGATCTGCATTTGAAGCACAGCTTTTGGATGTAATAAAGCAGATTCAGAAGTCCAATTAATTAATTCCGACCTGCTTTTATTTCTCAAGGCTTTCAACTCTCCGACATAAAATAAACTTTAAAGACATATCTGGCTTTGAAATCGCGACCAAAAAACCCCACACTATAAATTTTCTGTATTAGCATTGAAGTAAACATCAACATGTTTTGGCTTGGGGCTTGGAAATAGAATACAAAGAAAATGTTTTAGCTCTTAAGTATTCCCCCCCTCTCCTTTGTATAAATTAAGGGATTTAGGTTGTAATTTTACACCCTGTTTCCAGAGCATGCATGTTTACCCAGAAATAAGTTCCAGTGACTTGGCTGAAAGCTGCTGACCCCATGGTAAGTTGTGTTCAGGTTTGCAGCTAATAAGCGTCATGATCTCTTACAGCAAAATAATTGTGTATTATCAAGTTAAACTATAGGGAGCTAATATGTGATGAAAGAACACTTTATGTCTTTAATGCAGTGGTGGGGTTCAACTGGTGTAACAGATTCATCTTGAGTCCAGAAGCAGTTCCATAGGTGGAAGGCATAGATATTTTGGTGAGGTACCGACGTTTAGTACTGTAAGGAGCTCCAGACCGACTGCTCTTGAGTGAGGGAGTGGAACGTCTGCCAGTTTGAACTGAGGTAACGGAATGTGAGGCAACTGGGAGTTGGAACAGAGTTCTTTTCAGGTGGGGGGGGAGTAGAACTCCTTAGCATCAGAGCATGTTAATTGCTGTATAAGAAATACTAATGAAATACTAATGATCCGATGGTCATTTCAAAAAATCCTTTCTTACTTAGCACCTAGAAGCCAAGAGGAACATACGTGCCAAATTTCAAGTTTGTAGGTTTTACGATTCTGGAGATTTCGTGAGTGGTACTTGGCTTTTATATTTATGTCTATGTCTATATTTATATATAAAATACAAATTAAATAGATCAGGTTTTGGATTGCCATTTTAAAAACAGGCTGAAAATGGATAATATTATAGATATTATTTGTTCTGAAGGAAATTCCAGTCCAAATTTTGAGGAAAAAAAGGAAAGCTTATGGTTTCCTTACTGATATCCTGAAACAGAGAACAATCTGGGACAACTTGGAAGGGGGTGATACTTACCATGAGCAAAGATTTAGGCTGACTTCCATAGAGAAAGCCAAATATTTTTTGATCAGATAAAAATGAATTCCAAATCCATGTGGAGAAATGGGCCTAGAGAAGAAGAAGTCAATGGGTGAGGAAGACACAAAAGGTGCCATTAAAAAGAAGGTGACATGGCAGAGAGAAGCAGAAAGAAAGAAAAAGATGTGGCCAAGATACCCTGTTTTCCCCAAAATACGACCTACCCTGAAAGTAAGTCCTAGCTTGATTTTTACACATGCGCTCAATATAAGCCCTACCCCCAAAATAAGCCCTAATTAAGATCCTTCCCACTCCAGAGTGGATGGGTACAAATTAAGCTAGGGTGGGGATGGGGGGTGGAGCTGCCCTACTACTTATCTTTCGAGAGTTGTAGCCAGGCCTCGGATACCCCGGCACCTGCCTTGCTGGCCCAGTTCTTCTGCAGCCGGCAAGGCTGGAAAAGTCTTTCTGAAGGCCTCTGGAGCTGATAACAAAACTCAGGATCGATCTAGAGCTCCATTATCCCCTGCAGAGACCTTCAGGAAAGTCTTGTCAGCTGCAGAAGAAGAAGTTCCTGAAGGCCTCTGACAGTGAAAAGGAGGCCGGGAGAGGGGCGACGTGCACAGGTGAGGTTAGTCAGTGGGTGACATCCCCTGAAAGTAAGACCTGGTACCTTTTTTGGTGGCAAAAAAAGACAGGGTCTTATTTTCGGGGAACCATAGTAGTTGTACAGGAACCTATTACGGTGCTTAAAAATGGAGATTTTTAAGTCTATCCCGTGGTATATTAATGGAGCGAATGCCCCATCTAAGCGTAAGAAAGACCTGTTTCACTATTTGAGGAAACTTAATTTGGGCAGCAAAAGATCCCAAAGCAGTAAAAAAAAAAAAAAAAGAAAGAAAACGAATGAAGTCCACTTGCCACCACTCAAACGTCAGAAAAATTGTGCAATCCTTTTGCATGGCCTTGTCAAAGAAAAACCAGCCTTTGCCTGAGGCCCTGGGCTCTTTGGCCAACCTGTTTCTAAATCAAGCAACACAAACGATTTAAATGGACGGTTTATATTTGCCCCGTCTGATTTTTTTAAACAAATTCTATTTCTCAGGCTGGGTTCCACTTAAGGCAACCTCAGACAAAGGGTGGAAATGAACTTCCTTCCTTTCCTGCAATCCATCTTGTTTAAAAAGCAAATCATCATTTTGAGAGGCCTAGCCAGACTCTCATTAAGGCTTCGGCAATGCCCGGTGTACTGACTTCCAACACCTTGAAGGGCTGGGAAAGAATGCATTTCTTTGCAATGCCTGTGTTTATAATTTTCTACCCTCCTCCTCCCCCCTGTAACTTTCTTTCCTGTTTTTCCTGTAAACTATTCTAATACCGGTTTGTTTTCACACGATAGATCATGGCAAGACTCGGTTATGAACTGAAAACAGTTGGGTAGCATGCTTCATGTTGTGGTCGTGCCACAGGTTGTTTCTGGCATGGATCTGGCATTTTGACACAGGTGTTTTACATACCGTATACAGCAGTAGTCACCAACCACTGGTGGTCCGCGATAAAATTTTGGTGGTCTGCAGAGAAATGTCACCCCCAAAGCAATTAATCCAGGCTGCGCGGGAACACAAGGCTGTGTTGCCCACATGGCCCGTGGGAACACAAGGCTTGCATTGCTTGCATTGTGAACAACATGAGGTAGTAAGGGGAGCGGGGGAAGGGGGGAGAGGGGGAACTTGCCTCATTCACCCCACATGGCCTTGCCACCAGGCTATTTCTTTCTGCTTCTTTCTTCTTCTGCTTTTTGCTGCACACAAGGAAAGCAGCCAAAGTCTTTCTTTCTTTCCCCCAAACTCCGCCAGAAAAGAGTCTTTGGGACCCTGCAAGTCTTCCTGCTCCAAGAGGCTGCGCTGGCAACGACTCATTTCTGGCGGAGTTTGGGGGAGAGAAAGAAAGACTTCTGCTGCTTATGCTGCTTTCCTTGCATGAAGCCAAAAGTCTCTCCCTCTCTCTCTCTCTCCATCCCCCACCCCCGAGAACGGAGCTGGAGACGATTTCCTGCAATCCCAAATAAAAAATGATTGATCAGTAGGAAAACAGGGTGGGGGATTTTCCTGCAGACTTTTGGGGGGGATTTTTCTCAGGGTCTCTGGTCCGCAGGATTTAAAATTATGTGTTTGGTGGTCCCTGAGGTCCAAAAGCTTGGCAACCTCTGGTATACAGCATATCAATGCCTCTTGCATCACCTTTAGTCCGGACTGAAAGCCTCCGTTAAAAAGTTTTAAAAACTTTAAAGCAGTTTACTTAAAATAAAACTATTTAAAATTTACATAAAGGGAATTCCTCCCATTTCCCCCCCAAATATGAGCCTCACAAACCTATTTAAAATCACTTAAAAGATAACTACAATGTTGATGGTTCTTGCTACATGCAACTCAGTTAAATGCTATACATGTTTTCCTCAATGGGACCCAAGCAATATACATATTTTTCTTTCTGTCATTCAAATAATGGAGAGAGCTTTCAAGACATTTCTTCTGTTGTCTTTTTGCCAGTTTTCCTTTATATATAGTATATACATAAAGGCAAATAGAAGAAATGTCTAGAAAGCTCACTCCGTTATTTTTGACTCATATTTATGATGGTTGCAGGGTCCTGGGGTCATGTGAGTCCCTTCTGACAAGCAAAGTCAGTGGGGAAGCCAAATTCACTCAACAACTGCGTCACTCACTTAAAATCCACAATGATTCACACATAACGATTGCGATGTTCTGACCTAGGTTTCCCCAAGAGCATGAAGCCGCGTCCTCCTCCTCATAAACTCCTTTTATTTAGTTTACAGTGAATTCCTCTCCATCAAAGTCCCAGCCAACAGTCTTTCAAGAGGATTCCCAATTACAGACCTTTATCAGGCTTGGAGATTTGCCAGGCTGATATCTTTCAGATGCCACACTGTAGCAGATAATACTTGACAAGAATGCAGGGACAGATCTTCACCCAAACAAACTAATTGTCTCCGGCAAAACCCCACTCCCCTTTCACTCCTCTTTTATTCCCTATGGGGGGGGGGCATTCACTGTCCACCTGTGGCTTTACTCCCAAGTCGACCCTTGTTCCTTAGCTGTTCCCTTCTTCTGGCAGCTCTGTGCAGGCGCACACTAGGATCAGGCTCCAGCTGTTCTTCTTCCCCACTGATCTCCGACTCCGAAGGCAGCTGATAACTGTCGGACGGCCCTGGTCCCATCTCTGCCTCTGACACAGAGCCCTTGTCAGAGCCTTCCCCAAACTCCAGGACTGGCCCATGTTCCTCCCCAACCTCCTCACTGTCCGAATCTGCTGCCAGCTCTGCTGACCGCTGGCGGGCACAAGATGTGAAAAGATGGCTCTTTGGCACTTTCTTGATTGGGATATTGTTGGCTTGAATTGTTGGACTGAAGTTAACCTTGGAGTTATTGTATAATAAGCAATTACTGTAACCAACTCATGGAAAATCAGTATCTTCTCACAGCTTTCATTTCTTAAAGTTACCAAGTTCGGAGATCCCTGCACTTCAGCCAAAATTTTTTATTCTGGTCTTCTCCAAAATGGTGTTCCAGCCACCACCATGCCTGTTGGGTTGGCCAATGAGAGTGCACTCCCTTTGGATAGTGCCATGCAGCCGAACACTCCATGGTTGGGATTGTATTTCTCCAGAAACAATCCTGTCCCATCCGACCAATTAATTTTCCCCTCTTTTCTTTTACAGCAAGTCACCGGAAAAACTTTCGGCGATAAACATTTTCGATCAGGATTAGAAAATGGCGTGCTGCTGTGTGAGTAAGTAATCAAGTTTTATTTTTACATTCCCAGAATAGAATAGAATATTATAGAATAAAGTTTAGAGTAGAATAGAATTATAGAATGAAGTTTAGAATTGAATAGAATGAAGTTTAGAATTGAATAGAATGAAGTTTAGAATAGAACAGAACAGAACAGAATAGAATAGAACAGAATGAAGCTTAGAATAGAATAGATTGAAGTTTAGGATAAAATAGAATAGAATGAAGTTTAGAATAGAATATTATAGAATGAAGCTTAGAATAGAATAAAAAAGAGTAGAATGAAGTTTAGAATAGAATAGAATAGAATAGAATAAATTCTTTATTGGATACACAAGGAATTTGTCTTCAGTGCATAAGCTCTCAGTGTACATCAAAGATATATGTGATAAATCATGATCACAGTCATAAATACATTCGTCATGAATCATAAGATAGAACACTTAGAGATAGTCACAGGATACTAAATAAGCAATCAACATAAATCATACTAGTAAACTAAATAAAACAATATAAATCGTAAAGATACAAGCAACAAAGTTATACTCATAAGTAGAAACTTATGGAAGGATGAGAATAATAATAGTAATACAGAAACCTTCATCGCAGTGCATATATCATGTTGATGGAGCCCCTCCAACCTTAAAAATTTTTTGGGGGGCGGGGGATGTATTGCCAGGCGCTTCGAATGGCCCTGGGCACGGGCTAAGAATGCAGATAGTGGCCGGCTTTGCTAAAAAGAGTCAGTTTCCCAGACGTTGCTGTGCAGAATTTGCTGACTAAGAATCAACTGACTTCAAGCCAAAGGCAACGTCTTAAGACCTCCAACCCAAACAAGCTTAGCCAAAGCAAATAATTCTGGCTCATCATTCCGTCTCTTTTTGCCTGTTTAGGAGTTGGACGATCATGGTGGCTTTTCTAAACACCCCCACGAACATCTGGTGGGGATTCTCCAGTTCTGGATATAGCATCTTTATCTTTATGGCGTTCCCCGAGGGAGGCTTTCAAATATAGTGCGCTATTTAATGATGCTAAGGGCCGTCTCTCACACAGAAGCATTCTTCACAGCAGGAAAATAAAATAAAATAAAATCAGGATGATGAGATTTCCATGTGGGTACTTGACTGTGGATTTTATAAAAGAGTTCCCAGTATTTCTAGAATGGCATCAAGAGGAGATGTGAAAATAGGAAGACAGACAGTGATGGGCTCCTACAGGTTCGCACCGGTTCTAGCGAACTGGTTGCTCTGGTGAGCAGTTTGCCCTGCCCACTCACCCCTGCTGTTTCCTGTCCTATATGTCCCTATTTTTTAGCTCAGCTGACTCACACAGCATAGCAGATGGCCGCTGCTTGGCTGTTTTACTCACCAGCGCTGACATCGAAGGCAATTTTTTTAACCGTAAAATGGGTGGATTTTGAATGCTGCGTGGGCGTGCAAAGCACACTCACCGAACCAGTTGTTAAACCGGTTGCAGCTCACCACTGGAGACAGAGATAGGGACGTGTGATGACCTGGGGTGTGTGTTCTGACCCAACCGGGTTCCCAAAGAGCAAACACAGACAAAGGCAGCAGCCCCCACCTTTTAAGGTTTAATAACGAATGCTGTTCCTTTACAGATAAAAGGCTGCTTTCCACTAATTAGCTCTGACAAGAAAGAGCCTTGCCAAGTTATTTGTCAATGATGCCAAAACCCCAGAGATAAGACTAATTTACAAGATTCTTCAAACACGAACTAAGATGTCCACAAGTTGAACTTCAGAGCTTCTTTGCTTTCTGCAAAGAACGCTTTTTCAAACCTGGCTTTTATCTTCTTGAGGGAGGGGCCATTACCTTGCAGCCTTACTCCTGAGTCACCTGTGCTGCTGTAATTGTTCTTTCCTCCGAGTAATCCTTTGTGCACGTGCACTTGGCACAGGCTCCTCAGGAACCTCCTCATCGCTGCTGCCAGCCCCCACAATCACTGAAGGCAGCAGTCCACTCCCTGATGGTCCTGGCCCTTCATCAGAGTCACCGCTCTCCTCAGCCATCTGCACCTGCTGCTGGCTAACCACAACAGCATGGCACAAAGGCAACACAGTCAGATAATCAAAAAGACTCCCTTTATTAGCTCCAACTTTGCCCCCAATGTCCTGGTTACCTTCTGGGCTGGAGGACAACTCTCCCAGGAACAGCCATTGACTATAACGAATCAAGTCCAAAACATGGTCAACAAAAATTGTAATTATAAGTTCGCTCAAGCCAAAATAAGGTAATTAGTTTGGCAGGGCAGGAGCAAGAATTCCAGATGTGCAGGCATGGCAAAACTCACACGGTTGGGAAGATGCCAGGAACACAGATAAGCAAAAGACAACACAGGATAAAGTCATGTTTGTTCCCAGCAGACACCGCACTCAGCTTGCATCTCTTTTCAACTCTCTTCCCAGCTGTGGCCAAATGAAGGGAATCAGGGCCCTTTCCTCCCCCATAAGCCACGCAGCCCACGTTGGTCTGTTCTCCGTTCTTCCCTGCATGCTTTAGGATGAAGAGGGGGTGGGCCTGGGTCTTCCTTTGAACCCCCTCTCCCTTGTTCTACCTCTCTCCTGCTCTGCCCACATGGACTTTGCCCTTCCCCAGTTTCCTCCACAGCCAACGGAGCCACACTCACACTCACTCACACTCCCTGTCAGCTGTTCGTCTTCCTCCTTGGATTTAGCATGACAGGGATGGTTGGATTTAATGGTTCAGAAAAAAAGGGTATGAAGCCTTGGTCAGAACAGTGATAGAGACTTTGAGCCTGCTTGAAACTGCAGAGAGAGGTTTTATCTTTAAAAAAAGATATATCTTGCAGTCCCTTGAATCCAAAGGAAAGCGTTCTGCCTTACCAAATTATGCCCGTGAGAGTGACTCTAAATCTTCGAAGCATTCTAGGAATGGCTAGAGAATAATATCTCTCCGTTCTTCCTGCTTAAACAATGCTGAACAAGGTTCAAAACCTGGCTTCCCATTGGAAAACAATGGCCCTCAGCACTTCCTACTTCAGAAGAGAATATTAGTCACGCCGATTTGAATTGTAGGGTCCTCGGTGCTCTCTGAGCTTGCATTTCCTTGCATTTCATGACCCAACTAGGCAACATCATAAGTGTTAGAAAGGAGTGAGGGAGGAGATGAGGAAGTGAAGGAAGATGGAAAAAAAGGAAGATAATTATGGGGTCTTTGGTGCTCTCTAAACTTGGTTGTTGTCTTGCAGATGTTTCACGACCCAGCTAGGAAACATCATCAGTGCTAGAAAGGAGTGAGTGAGAAGGAGGAGGAAGAGGAAGATGAAAAGGAAGACAATTATGGGGGTCCTTGGTGCTCTCTAAGCTTCGTTGTTGTCTTGCAGACATTTCATGACCCAGCTAGTGAACATCATCAGTGCTAGAATGGAGTGAGGGAGGAGATGAGGAGAAGGAGGAGGAGGAAGAGGAAGACAATTGTGGGGTCCTTGGTGCTCTCTAAGCTCCTTGCAGATGTTGTATTATCCAATTAGGTAACACAATCAGTGTCAAAAGGGAGTTGGATTTGTGGAGAGGAGGAGGAGGAAGAGGAAGACTGGGGTCTTTGGTGCTCTTTAAGCTTGGTTGTTTTCTTTTGCAGATGTTTTATGACCCAACTAGGCAACATCATCAGTGCTGGAATGGAATGAGGGAGGAGGCGGAGGAGGAGAATTCTGGAGGTCCTTAGTGCATTTTAAGCTTGATGGTTTTCTTGCAGCTGATAACCTCATCAGTGCTGGAAGAGGGAGTGATTGATGGTTGGCTTGCAGCTGTTACATATGTGGGATACTGTACATAAAATATCTGGCATTCTGATTAATGTGGGAGTGAGCATGATGGATAAGCAGCCTGGCTTGAAATGTGACAGTTTCTCAGGTTGTCTCAAACGTAATTGAATCTTACCTCTTACTACTTAACTTTGAACAGTCACGACGTGAACCGTTGTTAAGTCGAGAACTGCACGTATCAGAGTTCGCTTAGTGACGTGTTCGATGTTACGATGACCCCGGGACACATAAATGCAAGTCAGTTTTCAAGCATGTAAATGTCAATCAGGGGACCCTTGGGATGCTGCAAGAGTTGTACGCGTGAAAAAAAAAACCCCAATCCTAAGTCACTTTTTGTGGTGCCGCCGTAACTTCGAGCAGTCACTAAATGAAGATTCCCTGTATTTCTCCAAATTAAGAAGACCTGGAGACTTGGGAAGAAGGAATTGATATTGAATCAGCCAGACAGCCAGGAACTTTGAAAACCCACGGCCTGGATTGCAAATGGAAAATGTTTGTTTCATTGGAATTCCGTTTCCCCTCTGGAAAAATTGCACAGGCTTGTAGAGACACCTGTATTCTATAAGCATTGCAGCAGATTCCTTCCTTTGAGAATCAAAACCGTTTTTGTGTTGTGAGTCTGGCAGGGGAAGAAGGATTCCTGCTTTAGAGAAACACTTCTTCCATTAGCAACCTCGCAAGGGTTCCAAGATTATTATTTTTTATAAATATTCTACTCCTGTGAATCATCTGGGCCAAATCCTTGCATGCTGGAGGAAAAATGGCCTGTAGAAGAATAAATTACGACATGAAGCAATTGCAATATATATATATTTATATATATATAAACCCGTTTTCCCTGATTGGAAGCTCACTATGTATGTGGGACTCGTTGGATAATGATTAAAGATGATTTACGAGATCATGATAATCGTGAGCTATGCATTTCCAAATTTGTGGAGGGTATCAAACTGAAGAAGGTTATAGCCCAGTAGCTCTATATTAATCATTTTCCTGTTAAAAAGAAAGAAAGAAATCAAAACAGTCCTTTTAGAAGGAGCATTAAAATTGATTGAATTAAAAACAACAACTAAGCAAGCTACCTAATAAATTCAAAACAGGAAAGTAAATCTATAGGTATTTTGAGTTAATCAAGCAACGGGTATATATAGCAGCCTATAAAGCATATTTGTGGCATGAAAATTTCCATGGCTC